CCCAAGGACCATCCTTTTTTCCAAGGATGCCCAAGGACAAATAAGAGCAGAGATTCTTCTCTCCCACGCTTCGTTGCTTTTACAGCATCCCGTTGCTGTGTTTTTATGTCCCCCTGCTTCGTCCAGCCGCTCAGAGCATCAGTGCTGCTCCCAGCTCTGCCGCTCTGGCTCTGCCTCTCCGTTCAAACCTATAAATCAGTCTCTCGATGAAACGTGTCTTCTACAACATGTGCAAGACTCGAGCGTTCTTTCTGTCTGGATAGGACAAAAAGCACTTATGTATACTGCTCTTTGTGTTTTGTTTTGTTTTTTTTTCTAATGTGAGAGTTTCTGCATTGTATTGTGCAATAGGAGAAAGAACATGTTTGGGGCTTGTAGAGGTTTTGGGGGTTTCTCGGGTTTAGTTGTGTTTTGGGGGTTTCTTGGGTTTAGCAGCAGGAGTGCTGCTGCCCCTTGCTTCAGTGCTGGATGGCTGCACCCATGAATTCAATAGCAAAAGCCGAGCTCCTGGTGGGCCTTGTGGAGTCTTCACCTTGTGGGTGTTGTCAAGGTTGCTGTGGGTAGAGTTTAGTATTTTGTGTATGTAATTTTTATTAACTGTTAGTCAGAACTGGCTTTTACGCTCTCGTGCTCTGTGCTCCCCTGCCTTCTCCCCAGCGTTGCCGCCTCGTGAGCCGGCCTTCGCTGCGTCCCAGCAAGCGGGACGGGGTGGACCCTGTGTACCACCTTCAGAAGTCTCACATATGTTTAACAAAAAGCAGTCCAGGCTGCTGTCGCTTCTGGGTTTGTGTGGCAAGGCAGACTACCATTAGGACAATCATCTGAAGGACTTAATTTTTTTTTTTCCCCCCTTTTTTCCTATTGCAATTTGCAGTACCTCTTTAAAAGTTCCCTTGTTGGTTCAGGTTTTTTTGGTGTAATCACCGACTGTATTTTCCTGACTCTGTGGGAGGGCAGAGCTGTAGGTGGCTGTGCAGACCGTAACTTCTATTTTCTTAACTTCCTTTCACATACAGCTCTGAGCCGCAGTATGGCGTTTCGGGGGG